TTTTTTTTCTTGTATTTCAGGGACTGGTTTGAACCTTTTTTGCAAGGGGCATGTTAGTTGACCTAATACCTCTTTATTACCTTTTGGCTGGAAAACATAGTAAGAAAACTCTTTAAATGCAAGAATATTCTAAGAATAATTAATGACTTTGAATATTCTTATAGCACTAGGAAATCCTGTTTTTATATTTGCACCTTTACTTTGATATGGTTGAATATATATGTTTATGTATATGAATACATAGTTATGTGTTTATTGAAATACCTGTATAGCATGTATATTAAGCACATATTTTTATTTATGTGAAATGGTACAGACTGCGTATACAGAGAGTGTGTCCTTAAAAATTTTTAATACTTTTGAACAAATACAAAATTCAGTTTTATGTTGGTATGGAGAGAGAGTTTGATTCTAAAGTCCAAGTACTAGGGTTCTAAGGAATAACCTTAGCTGGGTTCTATTTCTGTCATCAAGTCAAAATGAAGGAGTTGGTCTTGGTTATTTTCTAATATTTTTGAGTCAGTGACTGTAATGGAATTTTCAGCCTATTTCTAATAATGAATATTTTGCCATTTCGTTCAAAAGAAAAAAGCATTATTCTTAATGATCCAATTCTTTTTTGTACCAATTGGTGCCCTAAAAATTTCGTCACTGGTTTTCTGTGAAAGCCTTTCTGTGTTGGTACCAACAGCTTTCATTCTGGGAAGCAATTTAGATCTTTGTAGAAGAGGTATAATCATTTGAATCTAAACTTGAACTTGTGGTGAGTTTGATTTTCTCCTTAATATACTGCTTTTAGAAAAGCCATTTTTCTTTCCTGGCTTTTGCAGTTCCTTGCACATAGCAGGCACTCAATAAATATTTATTGAATAGAATTGAATTTGACCTGCTTCGAAGTCATAGTCCTGATATGTAGGATATTTCATTTTCAGCAGGAGCTGTCATAAATCACGGGTTTTAATAGTAATCTACCTGATGAACTGCACACTCAGTGGCATATAGTAGTTCAGCATGGTATGTTGCATTTTTTCAAGCACACACTTAGAAAACAGTGTAGCCCATTTGGCCTTGCTTGATGAACTGCCTGTGGCCTATTTCAGATCTTTCACAGCCTTTTAGAATAACTGCATTTACTTCTCTCTGGTGCCTCTTAAGCCTTTACATAGCTTTTTGCCTAGAATACTCCTTTTGGTAAATTTGGGTGTACCTTTCTTGACACTCTTTGATGGATATGAATGAGCTGCTGCTTTTCTCTTGTTGCACTTTGTCCTTCCATCCGTCTCAGCACAAAATTCTCCTGTAATTCTTCCTACTTTCCCTCTAGACAACTGCTTGAGGGCAGGTCTGTGATTTATTCTTGTCTGTGTTCCCTAGGGCCTGAAACAATGCCTGGCACATAAACGTTTGTTGAATTAACAAATGGGTCCTGAAGTTCATGGAAATTTGCAAACGGAATAAAATAAAAATGTAAATGAATTTAGCAGGGGTCATTAATTATATGCCTAATTCTAATTAAATTGTTATATAGTTAGAAACAAAATTAGCCTGAGATTCAGAAGATGCAAGCTCTTGTGTTAGATTAATGATTTTTTAATAGCGCCTTAATCTTTGTAGTTCTTAGTTTTTTTTAAGCCTGGGAATGAATGGAAAGGATGGAATCTTTACTCAGATCCCTTGGAGCAAGAATTATGTTGCTCCTAAGTTAATTATAGAGAACCAGGTCTCTTCTGCCAGACTCTTTGAGTCAGGAAGTGTGTTCTAGTCATCTATAATTTCCTGGCACTGAGCTCAGTACTTAGTATATAGTAGTTCAAACAATTTTACCGATAAAGCAATACATTCCCACATAGAATTACGCTTTTAAGTAAAGCAAATTAGAAAAAGGTCAGGTAGAGAAAGGTGAATTAAATATTTGTAAAACTTAAAAGTATCTATCAAAGAACAGTTATTTGGAATGTCTGAAAAAAATACTTGAGAGAAATTTTTTGTTTATCAGCTAAAAAAAATTCACCAGTAGAGGAAATGAATATGAAGTGTTCTGGTCCCCTAACTACAAGTTAATAATTTATCAATCTGTGACACATTGGACCAAGTTTTACATCGCTAAAGTTAAGCTTTGCCTGCTGTGGAATGTTGGTGGCAGTATTCTTGAAATTTATAGATACTTGTGGTCGTATCTTTGGTTTAAATAATTGAAAAACTGTATCCTATTCCAGGCAGTATTTGTTAAATCATTTACATATTTGGGACTTAATCTATCTTTAGGGCAGAATGAACTTGTCTGATTATGTCAGTGTATCCCAAAAATAAAAGGGGGGAGCAAAAAAGCTTTATCAGCCCTTTTAGCTATACTTTTGTAAAGATTTGGTATTATTTAGTAAATGAGATTCCTACCTTTCCAAGGAATTTTTTAAAGATCCAAATAATATTCTTATATTTAAACTAAGTCTATATCTTCTTTGGGTTAGGAATGCGAATATTTGTTACCTATAGGGTTCAGTTGTAAAAATAAGAGAAATACTACAATCAAACTATGTATATAAAAAACTTCTATATCAGGCCACTCATTCATCCATTTACTAGTTATGTACTCAACAGTTCTGCCTTAGACACTGTTTACAAAGAGGAGGAAGATATGATCATGCTTTGGGTTAATGTGAAAAATATTATCTCAAATTAGAGGCTGATGCCTGTAAATTGGACCCAGATTTTTCTTCCCACCAGGACAAAAAAAAAAGATTTCTTAAAGAAAGCAAGTGTGATAGTGAGTATAAAGGTGCACTTTTAACTTGTACTTGATTTATTGTGTTGTTAGTTCTTGAAATTATTACAGTTCAACTGTCTATTTGCCCCAGGCTCTTTTATTAGTGATCAGAGACAAATCCATGTTTTGTGCAACTTGAGACAACTTGAAGGGATCTTTCTAAATATAAAGACTATGCAAGTACAAACAGGATTGTGTATGAAAGTAAATTTTTTTTAAGATGAGAAAATTTACAAAAAAATTAATTTTTAAAAAATGGATAAATCTACATATATTAGATAAGTAATCTAGGCTTGTTTTTCGTATGTACATTTTATACTTTGATTCTCTTCTCCTGCCACATCTGCTTCCAGTCCTGGGCACCTGAGACACATTCACATTGCCAGATTGGACCTTACCATTCTCATGGGTAGGCTGTCCACATTCCTAAAACCAGTCTTTTAACAGATTCTATTAAAAAAAAATTATTATATATATCTAAGGTATACAATATGATGTTTTGATATATACACACATAGTGAAATGGTTACCACAGTCAAACAAATGAGCATGTTTATCGCCTTCCATACCTACCTTTTTTTGTGGTGGGACCACTTAGAATCCATCCTCTTAGAAAAATTGTCAGTATATAATACCGTATTATTAACACTAGTCATCCTGCCATATATTAGATATATTAGTCTTACTCAGACTCCATAACTGCAAATGTGTACCCTCTGACTACTTCGTCTCATTTCTTCCCCTCCTTGCTCTTGGTGAATATCCACTGTTCTACTCTGTTTCTATTTATTTGGTTTCTATTTTTAAGATTCTGCATATATGTGAGATCATATAATATATTTATTTCTGTGCCTGGCTCACTTCACTTTTATTGAGACTGCTGACAAATTTTAAGCTATTTACAGAAGTGACTATGTGCCTCACATATACCTTTGACTAAACTCAAACTAAATGCGTCTCCGACTCAAATTCCATTAGCCAGATTCCAGAAATGACTGTGGCCACTCCAGTGCCACCCAATAGATTTTAACTAGTTGTGTTTTAAATGTCTTGCTCTTGAACTACTAAATATATATGTATTCATACATATATAAATGTATGTATGTATGAGTGAGTGAATGAATGATGAGGGCCGTAGAAGTGGGTCCAGAAACTTACACTTTGCTAGCTTCTCAATAAATTGCCTTAGGATGCAAAGCTGGCCATTGAGTACCATGCTTACCACCACAGGGTAGGGGCTTGGGTGTGTAGAGCAAGCTCAACAGAAGCCTAAACCTCACCTTTTAAAAATATACCTATGTAACAAATCATCATAGGTGATTCTAAAATTAAAAATAAAAAAATCCACCTTTATGTATACCTCTAGTCTTCTGTCATAGAGAGCTGCCCCATTACTTTATGTATGTTCTTGTGTAATTCCTGATGGTTTTATTTAAAAACATTGTTTATTTGAAGGGTTCATTATGCCCTATGTAGAGGGGTAAGAATGTGGTTGAATTTACTCTTGTCCACATCACATTAACATATAGAAATGAATACGGTAGTTAAATTACTACCCTTTCTTGATGGCAGAAGGTATTTTCAGTTCTGCAGTCAACCTGAATGCCCCAGTGGTTGGGTGGCACCTGATGGAATGACTGAACCGTTATATACCACATGTTTATAGGCATGGTAGACAGTATGGGGAGGTGGAAAAGACTCGTTCTGACCTGACACACATTTACTACTTAATAGCTTGGTTATTAAAATTGCACCTTGGTTTTATTCTCCTCAGGGTTCAGGAACAGTACACCAAAACATTAATTAAAAATCGATGAGAGAGCTTCAGCTGTGAATTTAATGTAGTAAAATAATGTTTAAATGTGAGATATTGGTTGTCAACAGAAAAGGCCCATTTCCTCATTTTTATTTAACAAAAAAAAAAAGCCTCTTAGTGGTATAGAGTGGTTAGCATAGTAGAGTTCTGTTAAGCTATGAACTATGGGATATTGTAAAAGAGTTAAAACTTTGGAATTTCAAAGAGTATGACATAGAAAAGACTGAATGAAAAGGGAATAAGATATATTTGTATTAAGACAAATGTGAATATTTGCTAGTTTGTAGTAAATTGGAGATAATTTAAGGTCATAATTACATTATAGAAAATGAAGAAATAGGGCACAGTTTCATGCATTTTTCTGGTAAGGAAAATATAATGGCTTATATAAAATTATTTTATTTTTATCTTTGTTTTTAGGTAAGACTGTGCCAAAATCCCAAGCTTCAGTTGAAAAATAGCCCACCATACATACTTGATATTTTGCCTGATACATATCAGCATTTGCGACTTATACTGAGTAAATATGATGACAACCAGAAACTTGCCCAACTCAGTGAGAATGAATATTTTAAAATCTACATTGATAGTCTAATGAAAAAGTCAAAACGGGCAATAAGACTCTTTAAAGAAGGCAAGGAGAGGATGTATGAAGAACAATCACAGGACAGGTAAGAATATTTCAGATCTTTAGTGTTAAGGTCATTTATGTTGCTTTTTACTTACTGATTAACTTAAATGTCACCATGTTATTGTTCTGGGAAATGTTGTTCACTTTGTATATAGACATGTGATGCTTAATGATGCCGTGATAGGTTTTGAGAAATGTGTTTTCAGATGACTTCGTTATCCAGACATCACACTACTACACATGTAGGCTATATGGTAGCTTCTAGGCTGCAAACCTGTACAGCATGTTACTGTACTGAATACTGTAGGCAGTTGTAACACAATGGTATTTTTGTATATGAACATATCTAAACACAGAAAAGGTACAGTAAAAGTACCATATAGAAGGTAAAAAAGGGTACTCTTGTGTACCATGCATAGAGCTTGCATGACTTATTCTGGGTGAGTTAGTGAGTGAGTGGAGTGAATACTACTAGAACTACTGTAAACTTTATAAACACTATATATTTAAGCTATACTAAATTTATGAAAAATGATTTTTCTTTCTCCAGTAATCAGTTAATCTTAACTTACTGTCATTTTTTTACTTTATAAACCTTTTAATTTTTAAAAACTTTTTGATCTTTTGTAATAACAGTGAGTATAAAACAAGCATGCAGCTGTACAAAAATATTTTCCTTCTGTCTTTGTTCTATAAGCTGTTTTATATTTTAAAAATGATTGTTTTTCAATTTTTAAACTTTGTTTTATTTTTATTTTTTATTTTTTATATTTTGAGTTGGAGTCTCACTCTGTCGCCCAGACTGGAGTGCAGTGGCTGCTCCCGGCCACCGCAGCCTCGACCTGCCTGGGCTCTGGCGATCCTTCTGCCTCAGCCTTCCGAGTAGCCGGAATTACAGGCGTGCGCTACCACGCCCAGCTAATTTTTTGATTTATTGTAGAGATGAGGTCTCGCTGTCCAAGCGGGTCTCGAACCCACGGGCTCAGGCAATCCACTCACCTCAGCCTCCCAAAGGCACGGGATTACAGGCTGAGCCACCAATACCGGCTAAACTTTGTTTTAAAAACTAAGACATAAATGCACACGTTAGCCTAGCTCTACACAGGGTCAGGATCATCAATATCACTGTCTTTTATCTTCACATTTTGTACTACTGGAAGGCCTTCAGGGGCAATAACACGCATGGAGCTGTCATCTCCTGTTATAATAATGCCTTCTGGAATACCTACTGAAGCACCTTCCTGAGGTTGTTTTACAGTTAACTTAAAAAAAAAAAACAAGTGGAAGGAGTGCACTCTAAAATAATGATGGAAAGTATGGTATAGTAAATACATAAACCAATAACATAATCTTTATTGTCATGATCAAGGATTGTACATGATTGTATGTGTTATACTTGTATCTGACTGGCAGCACAGTGGGTTTGTTTATACCAACATCACTACAAACATGAGTAATTTCTTGCCCTACCACTTTACAATGGCTGTGATGTCACTAGGCAATAGAAATTTTTCAGCTTCATTATAATCTTATGAGACCAAAACGTTGTAATGGGGCGCAGCAAACTATTAATTTTGCTTTTAACGATATTTAATAGTTTTATATAAGTGTGTTTATGATAATAACTAGTTCATGAAACAGTATTTTTTTAAATGGATTTTATTTTTAGAGCAGTTTTAGGTTTATAGGAAAATTAGTCAAATTACAGAGAGTTCTCATTAACATCTCTTCCCCTACAAAAGCTATTTCTTCTTATTCACATCTTGCATTAGTGTGGTATGTTTGTTACCATTAATGAGCCAATATTGGTACCTCATTATTATTAAACTCTAGACATCAGGGTTCACTCTGGGTTGTACTCTTTTGTGATGGTTCATAAATGCACGATGCCATGTATCTACCATTACAGTGTCATGTAGAATAGTTTCACTGCTCGAAAAATGCCCTATGATCCACCTATTCATTGTCTCCCTCCCTTCTGGCAACCACTATAGTTTTGTCTTCTCCGCAGTGTCATGTAGTTGGACTCATGCAATATATAACGTTTTTGGACTGGCTTCTTCCACTTAGCAATAAACATTTCAGTTTCCTTTATGTCTTTTCAGAGCTTGCTAGCTCATTTCCTTCTGTCATTGGATAAAACTCCATTGTGTGGTTGTACCACAGCTTGTTTTTCCACTCACATATTGAAGAACATTTTGGTTACATCTAACTTGCAATTATGTATAACGTTGCTATAAATATTCACATGCAAGTTTTGTGTGGACTTAAGCTTTCAGCTCATTTGGGTAAATACTTAGCATCATTGCTGGATGTCATGTATGGTATGCCTGTGTTTAGCTCTCTGGAAACTCCTAGACTGGCTTTCAAGGTGGCTGTATCATTTTGCGTTCCCACAGGTAATGAATGAGAGTTCTAGGTGCTCCTCACCAGCATTTGGTATTGGAGACAGTCTTTAAGATATAGTTTGACTGACTCTGTGAGTGTGGTAGATGTGGGTGGGAGATGCAGCTTCAGTTTCTATATTTTGATTTAAGTGAGAAATTGAACTGGAGTGACACAGACTGAGGTGGCATCAACCAAATCCTCATTTCATATGCAGGATTCTTCAGTTAGAGACTTCATATTAAAGTTTGTTGATTGGCTACTTTAATGTTAAATTTCTTGGTCTATCTTAGACCAAATAAGGAGAATGTAGAGTTTTCCATTTCTGGGCTGTTTTAAATATATCTAGAATATTCACTGATTTATAAATTGGAAAACCAATATTAATTAAAATATATACATCTTGCCATATTAGTTACATTGGATTTTAGTTGAAGACCCTTAACCTCTCTGGTTTTTAGTTTTCTCACACATAGATAAACCCCGAATCTTTCTTTCAGGTCAGAAAAACGAGTCTCTTTCAGTCTTTCAGTTGTCTAGGTCTGTGGACTTGAAAGTTGGCTGTAAATACTGGCCAAATAAATACCCAGGGCAAGTAAAACCATCAGATTCAAATGTAGAAAAGCCCCCTGCCAAATGTAAAATGGTTTAAATATTTATGTATCTATAGTTTGCTTTCTACATTCGTGATGGACTGGCACATATTCATATGTCAGTTGTTTAATCCTGGGCTCATCACTTAATATTCTTGGGCCACAGTTTACACATCATGAGGGTGGCAACTCTTCAGTTGCCTTCCTAGTTTTAGAGCTTTAAGACGCTTCTGGACTACCAAGAGTAATTTGAATTGCCAAAGGTTATAGAAGTAAGGTACAAATTTTATGGTGATTGTTTATTCTTGCAGACTTTTCAAGAATGGCTGACATCTTGGGAAGCCAGATATTTATGTTAAAATTTTGTTTTTTAGCTGGGCTCGGTGGCTCAGCCTGTAATCCCGCGCCTTTGGGAGGCTGAGGTGAGTGGATTGCCTGAGCCCGCGGGTTCGAGACCCGCCTGGGTAGCGAGGCCTCATCTCTACAATAAATCAAAAAATCAGCTGGGCGTGGTAGCGCATGCCTGTAATTCCGGCTACTTGGAAGGCTGAGGCGGAAGGATCGCCGGAGCCCAGCAGGTCGAGGCTGCGGTGGCCGGGAGTGGCCACTGCCCTCCAGTCTGGGCGACAGAGTGAGACTCCAACTCAAAAAAAAAAAAAAAAAATTTGTTTTTCACCTTGTGTTTCTGCCACTGAACTAATGAAACTAAGTTGGTTTTCTAAATAACCTTATAATTCTTATTCAAATTTAGCAGTCCTGAAATTCTTCTTGATCCGTCCAAGTCATTCATTAACTTTTAGTTTTCCAGGGTATCAGGACACTGGCAAGGTGTGTAACTTTTTGATTTAGGAGTTTGAGAGGATTCAGCATTCTAATTGGAAGTAATATATGATGTCATAAACTTATATCCCACTTTTACATCTTCTGTGGAAAGTTGAAATATTTGTTTTACAATTACCATTTAATTTGTTAATTTTAATATTTTTGCCTTTGTATATGGAAGCATTTCATGTAGGACTTTTACATTTTAGTGATTTATGTATAGCTTTCTTTTTTCTTTTTTTTTTGAGTTGAAGTCTCACTCTGTCGACCAGACTGGAGTACAGTGGCCACTCCCGGCCACCGCAGCCTCGACCTGCTGGGCTCCGGAGATCCTTTCGCCTCAGCCTTCCGAGTAGCCGGAATTACAGGCATGCGCTACCACGCCCGGCTGAGTTTTTGATTTATTGTAGAGATGAGGTCTTGCTGCCCAGGTGGGTCTCGAACCCGCGGGCTCAGGCTATGTATAGCTTTCCATAGGTGGTGATAGATCTCATAATGATGACTGGTCACGATGAGGCCACTCTGTAAATTTTGTATATTCTTGTCTGCATTTTAAGTGTCCAAGTGAATTTTGTTCTTTGTTCTGCATTCAGCTCTATGACAAAATTTATTAGTTTTGTGCTGGTATAGCATATTTCTAATTGGGTTTTGCTGTCATCCTTGTTCTATTTGCTGATAGCATTCTGTGACCAGCTGTGTTTATGCAAAACTTACCTTTGATAAATATCTAATCATAATTCATAATAATTTACCACTCCTGCTACACCATAACAAGGACATAGACTTTTTTCCCCCCCTGAGTTAGAATCTCACTCTGTTTTTCAGGCTGGAATGCCTGAAAAACACTCAAGGCCACTCTCTACTCACTGCCACCGCAACCTTCACCAGCTGGGCTCGGGCGATCCTTCCTCCTCAGCCTTCCAAGTAGTTGGAACCACAGGCGCATGTCACCATACCTGGCAAATTTTTTGATTTATTGTAGAGATGCGATCTTGCCAAGTTGCTCTGGTTAGTGTGGAACCCCTGGGCTCAGGCAGTCCTCTCTCCTTGGTCTCCTAAAGTGCTGGGATTACAGGCATGAGCCACTGTGCCTGGTTGACATAGACTTTTGAATTGTGTTTCTTCTGCTAGTAATATATTTGGAGACATTCACTTCTAAGTTCCTGTAGCGTTCCAAATGTAAACTGAGTCTTAAGTGGGTCATTACAGCGCTTTGGGGCATTTGCCTTACAGAACATAA